AACTCACAGAGATCTGCCTGGCTCTACCTCTTGGAATTAAAAGCATGTGTTACAATGCCCAGCTAAGCATGTTTTCTACCTCATTCTAAAGACTGGGTGCATCAAGAGTAAGAAAAAATGGGGGAAATTTAACTATGAATGTCAGCAAGTGGGGGCCCAAAAACTTGAGGTTTGACTCACTTTATTTGGAATAGTGTGTGCTCTGGAACTATATATTCATTTTCTTTTTGGAACTACCAGGTTAGATTAATATCTCCCATTTCTTAGGCTGACATGACTTTGAAGACGTCTCAACTGTGTTTTGAACTGATCTAAACGAACATTACGAACATGGCCCTTTTCTAAAGTTCTTAGGGACAGTTTGAATATTTTGCCTCTTGTATACCGTCAATGTTGCTGGCATCCTACAGGCATTTTCCTTCACTCTTTCTTTCCTCCTAACCCTTCTCTGACTACTCCAATTCATTCCTGCAACTTCAGTTATCTTTGCTCTTTCAGTAAACATATTTCCTGACCCACAATTATCCATTTGCTGATATAGTTAAAAAAAAAAAAAACTTTGTTTCTAGATCAGTAGATTTGTGCTAGAGTCCTAGCTCTGGGATGTAGTCATCATCTTGGGCAAGGTAGCCAGACCCTCAGTTTCTTCATTTGTAAATGGTAAGGTAGTGCCTAAAATGTAGGATTTGTGCTGTAGTCAGCACAGTGTCAGCCCATAGCTAGTGCTCCATTAGTGGTAGTTATTACAATCAGTGACTCTGAGACTCAGCTTGTGTTTTATTTGAAGTATAATTAGTGAGCAATTCAATTCAACCTTGTGAGCAACCCCTGTTTCCTCTTTTCTCAAAGTACCTGGATTTCTCTATCATTGTTTCCAAATGAGGAAATCTGCACAAAAATGATTGTTTTACTTCTCTTATACCCATCTTCCTGGTGGTATTTTACCCCTGCCAACCTGTCTTATTCCTACCTTGCACTGCCTTCTCGCCATCTCCTTTTTAATCTTGGGGTGAGCAGCAGTAGTTTAGGGAAAATTAACAAAGTAATAAAGAGAAAACAACTCAGAAGTTCTTTCAGACCAAGAAAGCTCTAGGTGCAGAGGGAAGATTAATAAACCAGGGAACTCCAAAAGCAGCTAATTTAAAAGTTTTTTTTCGTCTTAAGATAACATTCTTGATGGCCTATAAATATTATCTATACTTCATTCTGTCTGTTTCACACCACTTAGTGCAAACACCACATTCAGAGAGCCTGAAGTTAACAATATCCTGAGGTTGGCATTATCTCCCACCTAAAATGGTATGAAGTGGGCTATGCAAAAGATTTGCTTGGAGAGTTTATTGGTCAGCTCTTTGTAACTGCAATGGACATTGAATATGTCACCATTGAAATCTACAAGTGGAGGCCCATTTCATAGCTGAAAACAGTGGCAGTTCAGTGGCACTAAAAGCCAGGAGGAAGTCAAGGTCTTCAGATTTGGCTTGGCTGGGGCCTTAGCCAGGGTGTCAGTACCAGGTACCTGTCTAAGAGAAAATCCTGAAGCAAATAATTACCTCTTTTGCTGATAAGAGGTCTCAGTACTTTTCCAATAGAACGAATGCACTAGGCTATTTCATTGGACCAGAGCTTGTAGAGCACTGATTTATGTGTACTTGCCTTAACATCATGCAAACTATTGTATATGTTGGTGGAACCTAATGTTCCTCTAGTCCTGGGTTGGTGTAAACAGTATTGGTGATTGCATCACTTACTCCTTTCTCTGCCCACATTGTTTCTTATGTTTGCAGTTCTAATTTTGTCCACCAGGTGGCCTCTCTTAGGAACAGGAAGAAAGAACCTCAAGGCTTAGGTGCCACCTCCTTTTTCATTCTTTTTCCTTCCTTTCTTTTTAATACCCCAAAGAATGAAAATATATTGGTGCAGATGTGTAATTTTATTGGACAATAGAAACTTCATTTCCTTATGGCATCTTTAAGTACCTATTACTACTAGGCACTTAGGTCCACAATGTACCAGCTTAGTTTCCTATATTCTAAAGTGAACAGGAGTAAATAAAAGTGGGTTTATTTATAGTTTGGCCAAATTTCCCCAGGGGGTGGAGTTTCTCTTTGGATTTCCTGTATCATTCATTATTTCCTATTTTATAAGAAGGATAAAAGTTGAAAAAAACAGGAAATATACAGATGTAGATGGTGTCGATGCTTCAGGGTTCTAAGCTTGGGAGCACCTGGAGAAATCCTAAATTTTCCTTTCCTCAGGGTCCTGTTTACATGGTTACATCATCACATGGCGCTATTTTCCTGAGGCAGTTTATGTGTAACTTTGGTTTATAGTTTTCTTCTTCAGCTTGCTGTGTATAAGAAAGTTTAAAAGTGTTTCAAAAATAGTTAGCCAAGTCATGTTGGTGCAGCCTATAGTCCCAGATTTTAGGAGAATTGTGATTAGAGGCCATCTTGAGCTACATAGACAGACCCTGCCTGTAAGTAAATAAACAAACAAATAAAATTAAGGCTGGAGAGAGAGCTCAGCAGCAAGAGCACTGGCTGCTCTATGGCTGCTCACAATCTTCTGTAACTCCAGTCCCAGAGTATCCATTGCCTTCTTCTGGTCTCAGACACCGGGCACTCATGTGGTGCACAGCCGTACGTACATACCAGCAAAGCACTCATACATGTAAAATACAAATAAATAGGGTCATGAGCTCTCAGGTAATGGTGTTAAATGTATTTTCTTTGCAGAGTGGGGTGTAGAGACCAAATAGAAAAAGGGTTGGCATCTGTGGTCACTCCTTTGCCAACTCCACTACCCTGTCATCTTTCCACATCCTCTGTCACCCACCTACTGATCCCTAGTATGTGTCCATCCCATCAGTCCTTGGGTTAGTGCAGACCTGTGAGTGTATCACATGCAGAGCATCCATTATTCCCACACTTGTACTTCTCAAAAGATGAGTTGACCAGGTTCTGGAGTTTGGACCAGGCTAAGTAAGCATCTGGCTGATATTTGCTGGACAGCTGCATTGCTGAGTGAGTGACCATACAGATAGAAAGTCTATGTCCAAGGAAAGAGATTGACTGAGGGGGCAGTCAGTCAATGCTAATAGGGGGGTAGGCATTCAAAGAGTGATAGGAAAGCATTGCAAAGCCAATTAGAGCACATTGACTGTCACCCAGAAAGCTTTTAAATGCAGTACCGCCCTCTACTGAATGCTTTCTATCTCCTACTAGAGCATTTCTTCTTTCTCTACAAATGCGCTCCACTTTGGTTTTTACCAGCCTCCAAAGTCCTCTTTGGAGATGCCAGTTGGCACAAGAAACTGCTGAACTGTTTACACTCCCTGACTAAGGTTCACGAAGGGGGATGTGGTTTAACTGGGCCACAAAGCCCAGTACAGGACTCATTTGCATGGCCCCTGACGCCATGTGACGCAGCCGGCTCCTCCTATATAAAGAACCAGGAGCCGAAATTATCTCTGAGTCTGGGTTGGACTGGCGGCTGTGGAGTTTGTGACACCTTTGGGGACACCCCTCCAGCCACTTCCCTTCAACTCCAGATTGGAAGTGCCTGACTTGCTCAGGTTCTGCACTGCAGCCTTCCTCCTGCTCCTAGCTCCAGGGTCGGACTGTGGCGCCAGAGCCTATCCCATAG